AAGTCACGAAGAATTCAAATGATCACGAGAACATACATCAACCATGAACTCAGTTATTTCGAATGACAAAGACTCTCGAGAACGAAAATATATCATATGCCTCACTCAGTTTCTTTTGTAAATATAAAAGAGGTGCACTTAAGTTGGTTATCAATCCATCATACATAGATTTGCCAATCGTCTAACTTCTACTCCAAAACAATCGAAAAAGTGAAACGATGAATCAAGAGGACTTCTCGGGTTGTAACGTAAGCTCTTTGGATCGGTAGGATACATATAGGCTAAGTGGCTAGATAAAAACAACTTCAACTCAATTCCATCACTCATCCGTAATCGTGAACACCTCCGGTTATCAATCACCAACCGGTTCATTCCTACGAACTCCAAAATCACCTACTTCCCAAACAATTCCTTTCATTATTATTATTATTATTATTATTATTATTATTATTATTATTATTATTTTTTCGCGAGAACCATTTGGACATCTTATCTAGGTTTCACCTTCGAGTTTTCAGCTCGAGTCTCCTAGACCGGTTTCCCGTACTCATGGCTCGAATCCGCTGAATAAGTGGATCGAGCGCTAGGAGTATAATCCATTTGGCTCCCTTTTTTTTTTTAAATGAGAAAAGATCATATTCACAATTCAATCAGCTAACACCTCCAATTCTCAACCCACAACTCAATATCATCATCATGAGGTTACAAATAAAATCATACAAGGCTCAAAGGGGGTGACTAGTGATTGTTATTCATGGAAAGGAAAAGGAGAAGAAAATACACGGAATGCCTCAATCATGCTCACGTTTCACAAATTCAATCGATTAATTTCAAAGCAGACTCAAAGCAAATCCTAGATGAATAAATTTTCAAACCAAACGTCTCTCAAGAAAACGAGTATGGCTCAAGCCTCACAAGGTAGATAATGTCATTCAAACTAACCAAGCAAAATAGTCAAAATATGCCACTCGTTCTCAAAATCACAACTCTTTAACTTAATCAATCGATTATCAACTAGTCTTATAATACACCAAAGTCCAAGCTCAGAAAGACATAACAAATAAACCTAAAAATAAAAAGACTAAACCGGCCCAAAATGCAAGAGAAAAGAAATAAAAACAACCTAAAAAGAGAACTAGACCTGGTCCACCACATAGTCACGTAAGCACGTAAAACTCCCCCACACTCA